GTGTTTTGCTCCTTTTGCAACTATGTTATTAAAAATTACTTTTTACTTTATAATTAGTGAAAAAATATTTTTACTTTATAATTCATAATTGAGAAGTAAACTGCATCTCTGTATGATTTTAGTTCTAGAATTTCCACTGGATTCTTTCTAGTTAACTGTTGTGATCCCCTATCTTTATATTCGTTGTAAGGGCATTTTTTTTCACATTTTATTTAAATTTTATTTTTTATATTCCCCATACAATTACAAGCCCCTTATTTTGACCCCAATCCCTCCTTTCCCTGCCCCCACCCCCCCATAGAGTGTCTCTGGTTCATAGTTTTTTGTTGATTTTGATATTTTCTTTCTTATAGTTATTCTTTTTCCTGGTCCCTTATTTAAGTTTTCTAGAGACCATCCGGTATTTTTCTTTTTCTTTCTGGCTTATTTCGCTGAGCATGATCCCTTCCAGCGCCATCCATGTTGCTGCAAATTGCATGTGCTTATCTTTTTTGAATGCTGAGTAAATAGTCCATGGTGTATATGTACCACATCTTCTTGATCCAGTCATCTATTTTTGGGCATTTGGGTTGTTACAAAACTTAGCTATTGTAAACAGTGCTGCTATAAACATAGGGGTGCAGGTGCCATTTGGAATTGATGTTTCTGTGTCCTTTGGGTAAATACCTAGGAGTGGAATTGCTGGATCATATGGAAGCTCTATGTTTAGTAGGTCCAGAAATCTCCACACAGCTCTCCATAGTGGTTGGACCAGTTTGCACTCCCACCAACAGTGCAGGAGAGTTCTAAGGGCATTTTTATTTGCTCCCCGAGCATAATTAAAATGGCTCCTTTATTTTGTAAAAAAAATGTTTGATTAAAGTAACATCACATTATATAAATTGCAGGTGTGCACTATTAAAATCAATGTCTGTATATACTACGTTAAGCTCACCACTGAAAGACCATGTCTATCCTTCATCACACAATTGACCTTTTTTAAAAAAAAAAAAAAAAACATTTATTTATGCATATAAGAGCTGGTGTATAGGCCCGAGGTGTAGGAGGGTGAGAGGATTCACCAGAGACAGAGTGGGGAGCAGAACAGGCAGATCTACTGAAATACACTGCTGAGGGGAGCAGAGGGTGAGGCAGGAGAGGTCCAGGTCCGCTGCGCCTTATATAGCTCCCTGGCCGGGGATCGAACTGATGGAACTCGTGCTGCAGTGGCTGCAGATAGCTTCGTAGTGCTGCCACTTAACCCCTTTCACCACCAGGGAGGCCCACAATTGATCTTTTACTTGATTTACCCACCTCCCCTTCCCCTTTTTGTAACCACTAATTTTGTCTTATAGTCTAACGTTTATTTATTTTTTGTTTGTTTATTTATTTTTGTTTAGCTCATTTGTTTGTTTGGCTTCTCTATGTACCACGTATGAGTAAAATCATGCAGTGTTTATCTTTTTCCATCTGACTTATTTCACTAAAGTGAAACCTTTAGGTTCATCTATGTTGTGAATGGCAGGATTTCATATTTTTTTGTTTGTTTTTTATAACTGAGTAGTATTCTATCGTGTAGGTAAACAGATTTTCTTTATCCAATCATCTGACGTTGAGCACTTAGTTTGTTTCCAACGTTGTGAATAATACTGTAAGGAAGATGGAGATGCAGATCTCTCTTCAAAACATAGCCCCTTTAATATCCTTGACTAATAAACAATGAGATCATTAGAGTTGATCTCTGACGATTATCTTTTCTCCTAAAATTGGGTCACATTTTCCTGTTTTGTTGTGTAATTTTAGAGTTCACCCTGGATATTTTGTGTTTGTTTTTAAATCAGGTACATCATTTGGTTGGTTTCAAACTGCATAGTGTGAATCTCCAGAATGGCATCATCTCAAAGTTTAGTTCTTTTAGATTTAGCTGTGTTAATTTGAGCCTATCCTAGCATGTGTGTGGTTAATGGGAGGGCCACAGAACTGAGCAAAAATTGATAGAAATTAATGTGTACCCCTGCCGTCTCCTTCCTCGTGTCAGCCTCATATTTTCCAGTGGCTGTGGTCATCCTAGACTTTTTCCTCTGGTTCTTCAGGCCAGAAATATTGCAGATTTTCCATCAAGTTTTAGCTGCTACATGTAGAGTTAGCTTTTTTTCTGTTCCCAGTTTAAAACATAGAAACTGGCACTGTACTCTGCTCCTTCTTCCAAGTTTTAAATATCCTCCAGGATCTACATGCTTTTGTTTATTTTCCTATGTCTTCCAGTCATTTGTATCATTCTTTCCAGAATTTCTAATTATTTCCTGTGGCAGAGTTGGATCTCGTAGCGCTACTGAGCTGTACAAACAGCAAAGCTTTATAGTGATATATGATTTCAAATATTATAACTGTAAAATAAACTTTGTGACTGTAGAGATTTCTATGGTATTTTTGTTAGTGGGACATTATACTAGAAATAATCAATTGAGATGTAAAGTATAGCTTTTCCAGGAGATATTTAATACGGAAAAATATAACTTTTCAAATGATTATAAATTAAAAATAAGAAATAAGAAGAAAGGTAATTACTTGGAAATTAATATAATGGTATTTGAAGGAAGAATAATTGTCATTACAGAAGATGAAAAGTAGGAAGTAAATGCAAGGAGTGTGACCTTGATTCCAAATTGTTGCAAAGACATTGAATGTCAGTCCCTCTAAAGTCTGATATGGGTTAGAGGGGGCTTCCTCCATTTGGTGACTCAGGAATCAGGGTTTTCAACATCTTGTGATGTTGCCACGTCAACAGGTGGTTTGCATAATCTTTACTATAGGGAAAGAGAGAGCCACAGCATTTCTTGTACAGAAGCTTTTTATACCCAAACCTGGAAATGACATGCCACTTCTATGTATATGCACTGGCTGGAACTTAGTGAAATGGTCCCAGTCCATCTGCTAGGGAGATTGGGAATGTTGTCTTTCCAGGAAAAAAAATAGCATGGTGAACACACAGTATTGTGTGTGCTGCATTTCCTTTTAATCCAGGCTATTAGGGAAAAAAGATGGTTCTTGCCCTACGCATTTCTTTTCTTAATAGGACATAGATATTACATTCTTTCCACTTTGCTAATTTTTGCATATTACAAGTATATTTATCCGACCAAGATTACTTCAGAAAAGTATGCAATTGACTCAAAGGGATAGAGGCCACTTCCAATGAAGAATAATATCTTTGTTTATAGACACAAGAATATTTTTTTGGAGGGGATCTTGTGTTTTAGATGTCAATTCTGCTCCCTCTTCTCGGTAGTCTTAGTAACTTGGTCTGTATTACAATGGCAATATAGAATGTATGATTGTTGAACAATAACAGAAAGTGTATTTGATTGCTGAACAATAGCAGGTAGTGTTTGTAGTTTTTATATTTAAGAAGATAATCTATAGCCTGCATGGAGGGTAGGAGTTCTGGAAACCTGCCAGGGAGGTTGGTGAGTGGGACTTTGTCCTTACTCTCTTGGCACTGTGCCCTAACATAAGAGAGGACTGCATTTAATCCATTCAGAAACCAAACATGAAAAGGTCTCCACTGATTACTGATTCTTCCCTAAAAGGTGTAGACCCTGCATTGGACTTATTACACATGGATTGTTTTGTTGTTATCACTGGGCTTTAATTTTTTATTTAACTTAGGATAGCTTAGCTGAGATTTCAAGGCTTGTTTGGTGGGTTTCCTTGTATTATTCTAACTAACATTAAACTTTTTCCTCAATGTTATCAAGTTTTACTTTTCTAGTTCCTTTCATACACATATGAAGTAGAGAGAGAAACTAAAAGATAAAGGAGTAGATGGAGACTTCTATACATAATACAGTATTGTTGTACAGAAATTATCAAAAACTATTTTCTGAAAGAACCAACATCTCTGTCACACTACATAATTTTAGCAAAAAAATATTGTGATTTTACTATAGTATATAGTATTTTCTATTATGGAGTTTATACAATATTAAGTATGGAAAATGTCCTCTAAAAGTCAAAGAAAAGGAAAAAAAAGGTCATAGGCCCCTAATTCATTCACTGTTGACAACTTTGAGGGGTTTTTTCATTGAAAACTTGCTGATGTTTATAAATGGATAGAGAGTAAATTTACTCAAAATCGTGAGGTTAGCTGAGAAGGTGATCTAGAGAAATGGAGAATGGAAGATTTAAGATTTTGATGTTATAAATGCATAAAGCAACTAAGTGATTTAAAAGGAGTAAAGCTATTATCAAGTTTTAATGTTTTGATTTTTTATTTATTTATTTTTTATATATTTTATTTTATATAATTCTTTCATCATTGTTCATTTTCCCACATGTACGCATTTTCATTTTGGTTATATTCCCCATACAATTTCCACCCCCCTTACTTTGGCCCTGATCCCTCTTCTCCTCCCCCCCCCCTTACTTGTTGATTTTGATTTTTTTCTTTATTATAATTGGTCTTTTTCTTGGTCCCTTATTTAGGTTTTCTAAATTCCTGCTATGAGTGAGACCATCCGGTATTTTTCTTTTTCTTTCTGCCTTATTTTGCTGAGTGTGATCCCTTCCAGCTCCATCCATGTTGCTGCAAATTGCATGTGTTTATCTTTTTTGAATGCTGAGTAATATTCCATGGTGTATATGTACCACATCTTCTTGATCCAGTCATCTATTTTTGGGCATTTGGGCTGTTTCCAAAGCTTAGCTATTGTAAATAGTGCTGCTATAAACATAGGGGTGCAGGTGTTCTTTGGAATGGATGTTTCTGTGTCCTTTGGGTAAAGACCTAGGAGTGGAATTGCTGGATCATATGGAAGCTCTATGTTTAGTAGGTCCAGAAATCTCCACACAGCTCTCCATAGTGGTTGGACCAGTTTGCACTCCCACCAACAGTGCAGGAGAGTTCCTTTTGCTCCACATCCTCGCCAACATTTGTTGTTGCTAAGTTTTCTTAATATGTGCCATTCTAACTGGTGTAAGATGGTATCTCATTGTAGGTTTTTTTTTTTTTTTTTTTCACTTTTTAAGACATCTATTTTCAGGGGCAAACCACAGTAATAGAAATACTCTAAAGAGCTGGTTCGTTCTAAAGTCTTTTCCAAGAACAAGGGCAGCCAACTTCCAGGAGGTACCAAGACATGTTCTGGCAAAAATATTTTCACTTTCTTAAAGTTAAATGCTGTCTTCAAGTCCAACAATATTACATATATACATATATTTTGATCCTTTTCTGTCAGCAAAAAAGGGGAACAATTTTTTAAATTCCAAAACTGATTAATATTTGTGTTGAAGGAAGGTAGTTTCAGTTGTTTATGACTCAGACCACAGGTGTAATCAAAATATCAGCAACTGTCCTTAAATTCACATCTGTCAAAGGTCCTTTTCTCTACTCACATGAATTCGTCTGAATCATTGCCATCCTGATTTGAAGACATATTCTCAACTTTCATTAATGACGAATAGCTCCTGAGCTCGTCCATCTCCCTCTTCTTCTTCATCTCCTCCTTTTCTCTCCTTTTCATTTCCTGAATCTGGGCTTTCTTCTCGTTCTGCTCTTCCTGGTCCCTGCACTCCTTCTCCGCAGCTAGGTCCGGGAACCGCTCTGTCTTGGTCTTTTCTAACCGGTTCAGGATCTCATTCACTTTCTTCTCCACGGTCACCATTTTCACGTCCTTCTGCCTGTGAAAGCCTATCTGCCCCACATCCATGTTGGCTGTTTTCTTCAGGTTGGCCCACGACGTATAGACCACAGTGATGTTGTTCATCTTGCAGCCTTGAATGCTATTGGCCTTCACAAGGTGGGCACAGTCCATCAGCACGTCCTTGGGAATGTCCTCTATCTTCTCTCCCTTATGCAATCGTAGGTATACATGAGCGAGGAGAGTTTGTCCACATGAAACCAGATATCCTCCGGCCAGCCATGCTTTATTAGATCTTCATTTTCATATTTATCCTTTCCCATGTAAATAGTGTAAGCAGATGAATTAACGCTGCTGCTGGTGAAGTAGAACACCATGATCCCCGCGGCGGCGAGCGGCGGCTGCTCCACACACCCAGGCTCCGGACTCCACACGCACGGAGGCCAACATGGGCCTGGGCCTCTCATTGTAGTTTTGATTTGCATTTCCCTGATTACAAGTGATGTTGAACATTTTTTCATATGCCTGTTGGCCATTTGCATTTCCTCTTTGGAGAAGTTTCTTTTTAGCTCTTCTGCCCATTTTTTGACCGGATTATTTTCTTTGTTTTTGTTGAGTCTCATCAGCTCTTTATAGATTTTTGTGATCAGTCCTTTATCATTAGTGTTGTGTGCAAAAATTTCTCCCAGTTGGTGGGGTTGGAGCAAAGAAAGTTTGTTCAGTAAATGGTATTGGGAAAACTGGGTCGCTACATGCAAAAGAATGAAGCTTGACTACTACCTCAAACCATGCACAAAAACCAATTCAAGACAGATTAAAGCACTAGACATAAAGCACTAGAAACCATAAAATATATAGAAGGAAATATAGGTAAAACACTACATGACATGCACCTCAAAAACATCTTTATAGACACATCACCAAAGCAGTGATAGTGAAGGCAAGGATAAACAGCTGGAACTACATCAAATTAAAGAGCTTTTGTACAGCAAAAGTTTTAATGTTTTTAAAAGGAAAGAAAAGGAGGCAATAAACCACAAGCAAAATCTCTCAGATCAAGAAAAAAAAACCCTAGAACTAGTTCCTCTCTAGAAAAAGCTAGAGGTAACTCATAAGACCCCAGATGTAGAAAATCTGATGTCACCCCAAAGACATTTAATAACATTAGGGGCCCTGTGGGAATTCAGAGTAGCCAAAGTTCTTCAGAGTGTTCTTCCCGATGGAAATAAACAGTGTGAGGTAAAACTAATTAATCTAACTTAATGGAAAAAATAAATTATTCTGTTTACATTTATTTGGCTTACATATTTTATATGTGAGGTTAGCATCATCTTTTTTTAAAAGATTTATTTATTTATGCGTACAAGAGCTGGGATACAGGCCAGAGATGCGGGGGTGGAGGGTGAGAGGATTCACCAGACACAGAGTGGAGAATAGAACAGGCAGACTGACAAAACACACTGCTGAGGGGAGCAGTAGGCGAGTCAGCAGAGGTCTGCTGCACTATGTGGGTAGCTCCCTGGCAGGGGATCGAACTCGTGCTGCAGAGGCTGTGGATTGCTTCATTGAGCTGTGCTTAACCCCTTGCTCCACCAGGGAGGCCCCAGCATCATCTTTTTGCAAGTATGTACTGCCCTTCCATTTAGGGTTGATAACAGAAAATGTATTCAAGCTGGGATTGTGTTTATTATTAGTTCACGATTGATTGAGAAGTGACTGAAGCTCAAGAACTTACATTGAATTATTGAATAATATGTAGAGGAGCATTATTGAGAGAAGGAAGAGAAGACTGAAAAGAATAGAAGCACAAAGGAGGGAAAGAGAGAAGACAGGTGGAGGGAGGTTTTTTCCTTATGTTTTGAATAGATTTTGTTTTTCAAAAGAAATGAGCCATGTATGCTACCAGTTCCCAAATTCAATGTGAAATCTCCATTACCAAAGTTCTTAAATTGCTTTTAAAGTTAAATTGCTGTTTAATTTCTTACAGTTTAGGCATTCTAGGTGTACCTTTTTAGATCATTGACCTGATTAGTTTTTTGGTTTACTTTTGGAAATTAGTTCTTCAGCTCCTAATTAAGCCAACCTTGGTAGTCTGAAGAGTAACCTCCAAAGATAGCCATTTCCTAATCCCTGGTAGCTGTGAATATATTACTTAACATGGTGAAAATGTCTTTGCAGATGTGATTAAGCTCATGATCTTCAGATGGGGGCCCTGTTTATACTGCATTATTTAAGTGGGCCTTAAATGTAATCACATGGGTTCTTGTAAGAGGGAGGAAGAAGACTTGGCAACAGAAGAGGAAATGTGACTTCCATTTGGCAAGAGGCTGGAGACATGTGAGGAAGTCCATTAACCAAAGAATACCTTTAGGAGGTGACTCCCAAAGGTTGGAAAAGGCAAGGACGTAAATTCTGCCCTGAAGCCTCCGGGAAGAAACCAACACTACTTTCAGTTTTAATTTGGACATTTTTAGATTTTTGGCAATGGTGACCTCCAACACTGCAAGAGAACAAATACATGTTTGAAGTCACTAAATGTGTGGTAATTTGTTACAGCAATATAGGAAACTAATACAGCAAATCAATTTGAATAGGTCTGAAAGCTGAAGAAAAGGACTGTATGTGTAAAATGGCCATATTGACATTCATATATACATATATTTAAAGGCTGTGTGCATATGTTGTATTTATACAAGCTAATATCCATATTTAAGAACTCTTAACATATATATGAAATCAATTATCTGACATGTTGACTTAATGAAAACAACACATTCCTCAGGAATCATATGAAGATACTGTTATGATATGTGGTATCCCTATGCCACTTGTGATTACAGTAAGACACAGAGTAAATTTAAATATGGCAGACACTCTTGACTTATCTCTTCCTGCAGGAGTTATGGATTAATTGGTAATGTCCATTTCAACAATAACAATACTAAGTGGTGTTCACAGCACACTGAGTACTCTTGGGCAGTCATAATCATGACTACTTCTAATCCCACCAGTTACTGTCTGCTCTGAGAACAGTTGTGTTTGTTTCCAAACTAATTTATTTCAAGTATATGTTTGTGAATTGATCAGATAGTGTAATTCTATGTGTTCAGTTTCAATATCATAATTTGGCTAAATATTTCATAGGCTAATGAAATTTAAATTGGAAAAGAAACCTGTTGTTTCTATGGAAATGCTTTGGAAAGATTTAATGCAAATGATTAGCCAATAAAAAGTTACTGCTAAGGTATGTGTGCAAAGTCTGGAAGGATTCTTAGATTGCTTCATAAATGTCTTTAGTTTCTTAAAAATTCTTCTCTTAGGACACCCAGAAATGAAAATTGAAGGTGTTGTTATGCAGGTTAAGATTGTAAATTAAGAGCCAGACAATCTGTTTTCATCTTATGTGTACCATTTACTGACTATGTAATCTTAGGCAAGTTACTTAACTTCAGACGTAAAATGAGGATAAGTGCTACCACAAAGAGATACTAGAAGGATTAAAAGTGGCTGACTCAGAGTAGGTCCTCAACTATTATTATTAACCCTACAACAGCTACTATGTTTGTGATCTATTCAACAATGAATGACTATATTGGTGGCACCACACTCAAAGAAAGGTTCTGGACTTTATGTCAAAGAACTGATAAATGTACATATAGTTTAATGTTAAAATAAACTGTCCAGTTCTCCCCTTTAGCTAACATTGCCAATTAATCCATTCCAACTTTAATTGCTTCTGATAGGGGATTCTTCTATAAGTTGGTTAATTTTTCTAATAATTATTCACTTATTAGCTCACATATAAGATCCAAATCCTATGAAAATTCGAAGTTCCCATGCCATGTAAATATTACTACATCAATCCGGTCTTCGCATACTTTTTTTTTAAGATTAAGAGTCTAAAGGGCCTCCCCTGGTGGCGCAGGCGGTTGAGTGCTGCCCTGTGAAACTGTCTGCAGCCTCTGCAGTGCAGGTTGGATCCTGGCTGGCAGGCGAGGGTCCCACATGGCGCGACAGACCTCTCCTGTCACGCCCGCTGCTCCCCTCAGCAATGTATTTCGTCAGTCTGCCTGTTCTGTTCCCTGCTCTCTGGTGAATCCTCTCACCCTCCCGTGCATCTGGCCTGTACCACAGTTCTTGTATTAAATAAATAAATAAATCTTAAAAAAAAAAAAAGATTAAGAGTCTAAAACAATCTGCCTGTGGCATATGACGTTCTGGTACCACTCTAACTCTGCTCTTTTGTCTCCATGCACCATTCATCTTTAAAATAAGGGCAAAGGTCCTGTCAAGCTGAGATTGCCTTCTGTAGCTGGCACAAGAGGATTCCCTTTGCATCTGCTTTCAAACATTTCAGTGTTGTTGCATTTCTCTTGTTATCTCACCATCAGAATCATATTGAAGTAGATGGTGTTTAAACTACCCTGAGCCTAGCTTATCATATTACCCTGAGTCACTGAAAGGAGCCGTCCAACCAGAAATGAGGGAAATTAATCACTATCTATTTCCTTGTTCTGGATCATAAAAACTTAACTACTTCTAGTCAAACATCGGGATGAAGTGAAGAGGGTAGTGGAATCCTACGCTGTCTCAGATAGAATCATCTCAACATTGTAGTCATTATTAGGCTTTTCTCCAATGTTTTATGTTGGAAAATTGTGGTTATTTAGGGACAAAACTTTTGCCACTTTTTGGATCATACTGGGGGTAAAATACCCAGAGTCCGCAGCTGTTGATCAGAAGGGAAGATTAATAGGAAACAAATGTCCAATGTTATTTGGGATTTGACCCTTCTTTCCCCAACTATAATAGGTTTAGGAAAATCTACTCAAATTGTGATGAAACTAAAGTTATATTAGAGCTGAAGACAAAATGGCCAACAGAAATTCAGACTCAATAGAGTCTGAATGGGAAATTACTAAATGGGAAATTACTAAATGTTGCCTCTTTATTTTTCTGAGAGCTGGATTTTTTTTTCACTAAAGGAATCCAGGTTTCAGCCAAACATCTTAGATTAAGAGCAATAATGTTTAGCATTAAAAGGAAACTCATAGTTTAGAGTCAAGAGCATAAAGTGAGGTGCCAGAAAACCTGGATTCTAGTCCCAGCTCCACTACATTATTAAAATGAAGACAATTAACATCTCAGAGATAAGCGAGCTGGGACTAGACACTTTCTGGGTTCTAATGCAGGCCCTGACCCTTACCAGCCATGGACTTGGGCACAGTACTTAGTGTTTCTTAGCTTTGGATTCGTCATTTGCAAAACAGAACCAAACTATTGTGGGTAGAAGTGATGGTTACCTGGAATAACACATGTAAATGGCACTGTGTTTGTCATGCAATTGCTCAATGAATATCGGTTGTGGTTTCCTTGTTCATTTGATGGGGAGGGTAGACTGGCAGGAAGGAATGCATGCAGGAAAGGAGGCTATTTTTAAGAGTTATTATTTATTATTTACAATTTTTCAGCCTCTAAAGAAATATTGGAAGGCTAAGGTAAAGTCCCAATTGACCACACCTTAGTCAATCAAATATCTCGTCACAGATTTTATTTTTTTATATGAAGGTACAGGATGTGAATAGCTTTTGTGATAGCCATTCTGTTAAATCATAAATTAGCCTTGGAAATAAAAGAATATACAAAATTACAATTTACATTTCTGGACATTAGTTTTTATTCCAATATTACCAATACTGTATTAATATTGAGTATCCTTCCACAGCTATTGAGAACTATGTTTGGACCCTCCAGGAAAGTTGACTTTGAGATCATCAGGATTATAAAAGCGTTTGGAGAAGAGCAGAGAAATAACATCTGTGTAAGGAAAATGGGGAGAAAGTAGGATTGCACAGAGTAAACCTTGAACCTAAGATGCTGGTTGACGCTTTTGAGAGGCAGGCTGGAAAGAAGACAGGTCAGGGAAAACCTGGGACCAAACTGTAGATCTGCTAAAATCTCAGCCAACCCAAGAGGGAGCTCCAGAGCAAAGATTTGCTCCTTAGAGGAGTCCTGCTGGGGGTAGGAATGACCTGGCACCAGTGCCCACCATGTGCAGTTACTTGGTGGGAGTTGCCTGGGGAACATGAATTGACTTCCCCCTTAAAAGTGAAGAATCATCTTGAAGGTGATAGAGCTATAGCTGCCAGCTAAGTCTACCTGTAGCTGAACAACAGATTTCTTTCTAGAAGATCAGAGCTGTGTAACCCAACTGCTGTGTGTATACTTTACATGATTTAAAAGTTCATAATTTAAAACTTTTATATTTTTCTTGAATATATTTGACCAAATTCTTGAGTTATTAGTGTTCAATAAATTACAAATTATCGTAAAGGATTTTTATATATGTATTGAAGTAATATTTTTATTATTTCAAGCATATGTTAGAGTAAAAGTCAGCATTCTCTTCTAGTTTTCAAGTTCTTTGAGGATGGGTGTTGTACCAGTATTGCCAAGTATATTCCAAGAGATTCTGTGCTATCCAGTTGTAATGAACGAAGAATCACCTTGCATTTCTTGAATGTGACAAAGGATTTTTAAAAATACACCTTTCAACATGAATAGACCTAGAGAGTATTATGTTAAGTGAAATAAATCAGATGGAGAAAGACAAATAACATAAAATTTAATTTAATGCATCCTTCATTAAATTTATTCCTAACCATTTTATTATTTCTGATATTAATGAAAATCAAATTGCTTTAAATCCTATTTTCTAATTGTGTGCTAATAAATAAAGCAACTGGTTTTTATATTATTTAATTTTCAAAAATAGGGAGTTTTTTCAAGATATATTGACACTTCTAATTTTATTTCTTTGTAGCTAGGGCACATGCTGTGTGTGATTTTAATCCTCTTAAATGTATTGAGCCTGTGTTTGCTTCGGCAGCACATATATTAAATGTATTGAGCCTGGTTTTATGGCCCATCATTTGGTTTACATGCTACTTGTATGTTTATCAAGATTCTTAGTACAAAAGAAATAAAAAATTAAACTCTGCTTTCTTGTAGTTTGCCAGCCACATGGAAGTTAAACATGTAAACACATGGAACAATACAACAAAGTAAGGAAAGTATAAGATCGGATGACCAGTATGGATTAAGCACATAAATGATGAAAAGTCCTAAAAAAGAGGAGTCATCAGAGCAGGGGCTCCATTAAGGTATGTACCTCTCTACTCTTTCTGGAAAATGAGGGTTTAAGCCAGGTGTTGGGCATAAAATATTGGATTGGTAGTTGGAGAATGACTAAGTGAAATGATTGTTAACACTGTTAACAATCAACACTGATTGTTAACATTGTTAACAACACAAATGATTGCTAACATTGTTAACAAATATTGGGCAAATCATGAGCAGAAGACAGCATGGAATATCTGTCTTCCTTCTCTTTGTTCCTTCTTTTTGCCCAAGGGAATTTTTCCAACCTGTGTGTGTCCCGCTTAGTGATTAATGCTTGAGATACTCTCTGCTTTCCTCACAGAGCTCTCAGGGAAGAAGTTGTTTCAGGTGTAAATGCATTAAGGCATAAGCATTACGTATAAGGGAGGTCCATATACTAGGATAGCAAGGGGAGTAACAATAACTTATTTACTTTACATGGGGTGGCACCGGGAAGATCTTCTATAGCAGGTGTCTTTTAAGATAGGTCTTTTAAACTGTGTCTGTCACACAGAGAGAATAGACGTTCCCAGCAGCATGAAACTCAAGTCAAATACAGCTTAGGGTGTTTATGATGGATAGAGGTATGAATTTGGAAAGCTGTGCTATAGCCAGATAATTAGAAAATTTGATTGTGCTATGGAGTTTATTTACAGTGATGAACATCATTAAATGTTTTTAAGCTGCACAGTGGCTTGATCATTTGTGTTTATAAAGATATCTGGCAGAATTGAGAAAGATGGATTTGGATGTCAGTGAAACTAAAGACAGGGAAAGTAGTTGGGTGACCATGTTCTAAGTCAGGTGATTAATGATGACTCACTTAATTAATGTGAGACACGTAGGAGGTGGACTGATATAGACGACCGAGGATCAAAAAGAAGGGATCATAGGTAACTTTACCATTTCTAATGTGTGTGATGTGGATGTATGATGGTTTTATTAACAAGGAAAGGAATTGCAGGAGGAAAGACAGAACGGAAGAAACATTGAGTTTTCTTTCTTATAAATTGAACAGGAATGATCCATTAGTCAGTTTTACCTATCAATTTAAATATTAGGAATTGGCTAAGGGCTAGAGATATTTTACAAGTCATTAATATTTACTTGACATCAGTCAAACAGAGAATTAAATCTATTCCCAGTTGGTATGACTTAAGGAGACCAGATTGTTGAATGGGGATTAGGCTGAGGTAACTTTTAAGACTCCTGGGTCTGTGAGTAACTATTAGGATAGAGGGGTGGAAGAATATGGGATAATCAGGATATGGGGTGCTAGTGACAGATCTGAAATACTCTGTCAGTTTGTTTCTTAAACTTGCAGTCTTAAACAAGAGACATCTCATGAAAAAGATTAGGGGGAAATTAAACTCACAACATGTATTAATTAGAATATTTGGGGGCTGTGCAAGGAGACCAATTTGAGGTACCTTCATTAAAATAAGAGACCTGGGACTCCCTGGTGGTGCAAGGGGTTAAGACACAACCTATGAAGCTATCTGCAGCCTCCGCAGCACAAGCTCAATCCCTGGCCTGCCAGGGAGCAGCCCACATGGTGCAGCAGACCTCTCCTGACTCGCCCGCTGCTCCCCTCAGCAGTGTACTTCAGACAGTCTGCCTGTTCGGTTTCTCACTCTGTCTCTGGTGAATCCTCTCGCTCCCCACATCTCTGGCCTGTGTCCCAGCTCTTGTATGCATAAATAAATCAATCTTTAAAAAAATAAGAGACCTTCTTATGAGAATTCAGTGGTATCCCATAAGAAGCCAAGGGTACGAATGCTACTTACCCAGGAGGCAGACAAACATTGAGGATCTGGGTTTGGGTCCACTTTGTTTACTTCTTTTCTCTTTAACTCTCCCCTGTCTTCCATTCCCTCCAGACTTATGTTTTTCTATTTCTCCTGATGCCATAGCTGATAAACTGATGTTATAGCTCCAGAAACTCAGTGTTACCATGTCCCCATCCCCATTCTTCATCCCTGGGGAGGTTCTGATTGACCCAGCAAGGGTGAGATGCCCCATGGACATCCAATCAAATGTGTTTGTGTGTCTGTATTTAGGGGGCCAGTGGATTCCAGGCCAATTAAATCATACTATCTGGGGGTGGTATCCAGACATCAGTATTTTTTATAAGTGTCTCAGGTTGGGACACTTGCAGACAAAATGCCTAGTCTGGTGCATGCACAGGGCAGGTTCACCGTCGATTCCGGCAGATGGATAGAGAGTCCTGGAGCCCTCGATGCATTTTTACAGGACTTTAATACCCTCTCAGGGAACCAGGTACATAGGCAGCCCAGGCAGGGAGGCTGGCCTGCAAGGAGGCAGGCTTAGGCAGGGGCAGGGCTGGGCTGGGCAGGGAGGAATGCAATCTTTGCGTTCTTTCTCTGGTCTTTCTCTTTCTGTGGCCTTGTGGTCTTGCCTCAGAGTGATGCAGCCCTTTTAGTCATCACTTCTAGGCACAGGTGTGTGAGCATTAACACACGCGCATGCTCCATGCTCCCTGGGCCCAGGTGTCCACAATCACAGGCGTGTGTGCCCCGAGCTTGGGCCCCTCATCCCGGGCAACCATGCTAGGGGTGGGAGGGAACAGAAAAAGCCTAATAATTTCGTTTACCCTACACCTAGGCTCTGCTGTTTTTCTGAAAATAACGACTGTGGTTGGGATGATAATGGTCCTACAAAAAATGTCCATGTGTTACTACCAAGAGCCTGTGGAAACCTTATGTTACACAGTGTCAGAGAGGAGAGGATATTCCCCCTTCTCCCATATCACCCCCCAACCCTTCTGACCTCTCCTTGGGCTGATGGAGAAATCAAATTAATATAAGACAGGTTAGTAGGAGAAAAAGTAACACATTTAATTACATACATATGGAGAATCGACACAGAAACAAAGATTCTGATTTTAGTGGGGGACGTGAGAGTATGCATCAGGAGCTAAAGAATGCGATAGGGGCTTGAGACTTTATGGAGGAAGGAGGGGGGACACACACAGGCGACAAGGAGAGTGACTTTAAAAAAGATTTATGCATATGTAAGAGAAGGAGCGGACACTGAGCAGGTTTTCTATGATCCAGCAGACCGAGTAAAGGAGGAGTCAGAGTTCTTAGTGGCTTTTGCAGGTCTTTTATTGGGGTTCACCAGACATATGGCAGGCAGGGGTACCGGGGGGCCGGGAGGCTGGCAGGCCTCCCAACCCCCAGCAAGTCTTCAAGTCTTCACTCTATCTGGGCTCTCCGGCCTTCTCTCTCTCTCTCTCTCTCTCTCTCTCTCTCTCTCTCTCTCTCTCTCTCTCTCTCTCTCTCGGCTTCTCCTGGCATCTCCGCGACACCACCCCTAAAAGCCCAGTCTCAGCCCAGGTGAATCCCACCTACCTATGCCCACACCCTATTCCAGGTGCCTGCCATCAGGCATGTATTCAGGACCGCAAGGATCCATCATCTATCCTGATGGCGGGAGGGCAGAAAAGCCTGACATTTTTCCTTACCCTACAGCATACAAGAGCTGGGGTGCAGGCCAGAGATGTGAGGGGTGAGAGGATCCACCAGAGACAGAGTGGGGAACAGAACAGGCAGACTGACTGAAACACACTGCTAAGGGGAGCAGCAGGCGAGACAGGAGAGGTCTGCCTCACCATGTGGGTTGCTCCCTGGTCGGCCGGTCCGGGAATTGAACTCGTGCTGCAGAGGCTTCTGATCGCTTCATAGTGTGGTGCTTAACCCCTTGCGCCCCAGGGAGGCCCAAAGAGAGTGACTCTTATGACAAAGACCAGATAGTCTATAATGAGATGTTGGCCTTGCCTTATAGACAGCTTATGTAGCTATAGAGGTTATTTCTGAGAAAAACCCTGATTCTGGATAATATCCCCAATTTTCATTTTTGTAGGTAGTTAGGGAATGGCCAGAGTTTCTTGTGAGACACCAGGGCCTCTATTGACATTAGCTCAAAATAATCCACATGCTAAAGTGACACATCTTGGGAAGGCCTGTTCTGAACTTCTCAGGGAGGCCTATCCTTTAGTGGCTGTAGGGGCAGGAAGGCACAGAGTAGGATCTCTGTGATCGGGGCAGACGGGTAAAGGAGAGTCCTTTGGCTTTTTTCAGGCTTTTTCTGAGATTTTACTAGTCACACGGCAGGCGGGGGGTCGGGGGGGAGACAGGAGGCTGGCAGGCCCCCTAACCCCCGGGAGGCCCCCAGCCTCCAGCAAATTTTCACTCTTCCTGGGCTCTCTGGCATTCTTTCATGGTCTCTGCTTCTCCTTTGTTGCTCTGCTGGTTCTGCTCTCTTCAGTTCCATTCTTGTTCTTGTTCTTCTCGTTCTAGTTCTCTCTCGTTCTCTGGTTCATGCTGGCGTCCCCCTGACACCACCTTATAAGCCCAATCTCTCAGCCCAGGTGCGCCCACCTATGCATGCCCACACCTACTCCAGGTGCCCACCATCAGGCATGCATGGAGGACCGCAGGGATCCGTCATTAATGCTAATGACGGGAGGGTGGAAAAGCCTGATAATTTTTCACTGACTACAGTGGAAAAAAGGAATTCAAGCTACAAATGGAATTAAAATTATTAATCAGCAAATCTCAAAATAAGGAGATCATTTTAGAGATTTGTTGGTTGGGCACAATATCATCACAAGGGTTCTTCAATGTGCAAAGGAGTAGGCAGAAGTATCAGAGTAATGGCACTGCTGGCTTTGAGGATGGAAGGAACCATGAAGCAAGGAATGTGGGTGCTCTATAGAGTGTGGAAAAGAAAAGGGGTTCTCCTTAAAGCCTCTGTAAAGGTACTCAGCTCTGCTGATGCCTTGATTCTAACCCAGTGTGACCCTTTTCAGACTTCTGAACTCCAGAGCTGTAATAAATTTGTGTTGTTTTAAAATCACTAAATTTGTGGTCATTTTTTTATAGAAGCCACAGAAAACCAATAGAGATTAGAAAAAAAAAACTGGCTAATACTTGAACGTGGGGGGGTGGAGATCAAATATCATGCCCAGGCTGTATTC